AGGCTGAAACCAGTAAAGCTCAGACTCTAAAGTCTCTTGGTGGAGCGACTCTCAGTAGCTCTGATGGAGGTGAAGGCAGCAGACTGCTGGCCTCCTCGCTCATCCCAGGAGGACAGCAGGTCCTTTGGAGCGGAGTGTTCAGTTTGGATGGAGGAGAGACCAACACTGAGCTGCTGCTGTTTGACATCAGTCCTGATCAGAGCAGGACAACAGGCACCGATCCAGACTTCTATTACTCATCAAACAGACAGAACAAGCCGGTAGGTCGCTGGATTTAACTAAATCCCCTGATGATGGAAAACAGATCAAGACTCTAATTATAGACCTAAAATCAAATGTTTATCTATGTTTAGTTTTTTTTTATTTCTCTTTGAGATTAATAAAGTATTTTTGAACTGAGTTGATAAAATGGAGCAGATTGTTAGACGCCGAATAAAATAAGGCAGGCTGTCTTCTATCAAAAATGTATTTTTTAGATTAATATCCAATAATGTTAAATATTTCACTAAACAGGTCATCAAAAGCATTTGCTTTGTGCTTTGTTCACTGACTATTGAATGAACTTCACATAACTACACATTGAAGTTATTATCACCTAATAGTTATTGAGCTGATTGACAATCGATGCAGACTGCTCTGCTGCGTTTCAACATTGAAGACGGTGGATGTAACTGTTCTACTATGAAACTATATTATAGGTCTCATATTTGTACAGCTACTGATGATTTTATATCCATTTAAACATTAAAGCAGAGCTGTTTTTAATATGAACATTGATACAATTACAAGATAATTATTTCTGTTATCAGAGGTTTGCAAAAATATAGCCAATCTTATTCAATGTATCCTTAGAAAATTTACACACATTTTAAACAGATCGTACAGTCAGAAAACCCACTGAGTGCATTGAGTCACTGACTTGCAGGCCATTGACTTACATTGACCTCCAGCAGAACCAGGCTCAGTGTAACCGGCCTTCTGCTGAGGCCTACTGGGGGTTCAAGAGATTAGCAGAAATACGAAGCACTGATCCACAAATATGAACCCTGTGGTACTCCACAGGCAAATCTAGAGCTTGAGAAATCTTTATCAATACCATGAACAACCGGAATTCTTTCAGAAAAATAAGATTTAAACCAACCTCATCCTAAAGCCAGGCCTGGGTTTGTCAGTTAATCCCCAGTGGGACCAGCACCTGCAGGAACTTCAAGAGCATTGGGGAACAGTCAGGAGCTTGGGCCTTGTCTACCTGACGCTTAAACCCACTCTAGGGATGTGGGATGTCGAAGGTTTGGTGGGGAGCAAAGCCTGATTGGGTGTGTAAGAGCTACCAGCTAGAAATATTCAGACTCGCCTCAACACATAGCCTAGGCTCTGGAAACAAACTCCTTAAGAGAAGCTGTACTCTTCTACTACCATAGGAGTAGCATATGGAGAGAAGTGAAGGGCTGGGTGGGTTTATTTGTCTCCTAACTTAGCCGGGGGTCCAAGAGGACTTGGACGGTCGTCTCAGCCTATGGGCAGAGTGACGGAGTACTAGGCCTTCTTAGGCATTGGGCTCAATAGTGCCCCTCTTAGGGAATCCCTCATTCTTCTGGGGGACTTTAATCCTCATACAGGGAACTACAGTGATACCAGGTGGGATGCAATTTGAAGGAACGAACCTCCGGCTGTGAATCTGAGTGGTGTTTAATTGCTGGACTTCTATTATTCATGTGTTGTCCAAAATGCACATCATGTTGGACCATGTTGTATGCTTCTATTGTTGAGACCCATAAGGTTGCCATAAGGCAACTCCTGAACCCTATGGCGGACACTGGCAGTAGGAAATCTGTTCCCTCTGGTACCTGTTGTCCTGAGGAAGAAAACAGGTACCATTAACCCAAGCAAGCTGCTGCTTTGGCAGTTGCCAACAGACTGCCATTAACTTCCCTGGGAGTTACTTCTGCCCCCTGTCTGTCAGGGGGGCAGAAGATAAAGGGCTTGTGCTTGTCTCCAGCAATATGTGGGGTACACCATGGACAGGTCACCAGTCTATCACAAACGCTCCAGTTACATTTAGATATAAAAATATTGCCTCATGTAATCAAATTAATAAAAATGGTACACCAGGTGCACATTGTTCTTTATTAGGCAGAGAAGGCAATACAATGACTATGCGGTCAATAGAACGGAGGCGAGAACTTTACTACAAATAGTTTCACACAGTTTTCATCCTGGGACATAAAGATGAGCATGAAGTATTCAGCCTTCAATTAGTGAGAAGCTGCCTTTACAACAAAAGTTAGCTATGCTTATTTTCTATGTGTTTATGCAGGTTTATATACTTTAAATTTAATAACTATAGTTTCTGTTTCTCAGTTAGAACCAAAGACCCTGAAACCAGAGATAGTTCTTCTGAAATACCATCACATGACCTCTGTGTTGGCCATGAGGCAGGGCGACTGGATGGTCTTCTTCTTTGGAACTGCTGATGGATTTCTTATTAAGGTGTGTATAAAATTGCTGAACACGTGCACAGTTTTATATTATTAAAACACTTTAAAGTACAGTATTTCATTTTTTTAACTCTTTAATATTATGTTATTCTTATACATTTTTCTAAGGTCCACATTTGTGTGACCAATTTTTTCTATAACCTTTTTGCTGCTGTAAACAGCATATTTTCCCCATTGTGGGACAATAAAGGGATTTTCTATTCTAAGTACTAAACACATTACCATTGGACAAAAAACACTGTCTAAACAAAGATAATAGAAAAGGAAATTATCTAGATTTTAATACAAGAAGTCAGCAATCACAACAGACGACAATCTAACCTAAAGGTCTTTATTTTTGTGTGTGATGGAGGGGGTTTATCTTAAATACATCTGCTGCTAATGCATTAAAGACTGAATACAGTTGGTTGTGGTCTGTTCATTAGCTGTTTGAAATTTACAATGTTGCACTAATGTGAAATGTTATTTTCAGATGTTGATGATTGTAGTTAATGTGTCCCTGAGGGTGAAGTGTTTTATATCAATTTGTCATTTACAAGCTGAACAGTTTGTGTTTTTGTCATTTTCTGATCAAGGCTGCAGGTTTAGAAGAAGTATATAGTGACTGCTTCTCTTTTTCAGCATGTCTGATAAATCCCTATCTTTGGGTTCTGGGATATTTTCTGATCAATTGCTGCCGTTACTGCGAAGAATTAGCAGTACTTAATTCACAGTTGCCTGTTTTAGTTTCAGTGCACTTCTCTTTTTGTAGTTTCAGTTTGTAAAAGACTTGAGCGGTTCTTCATTTTGGGGGATGATGTAGCTTTTTACAACACTGATACTGACACATCTAAACTAAAGGCTTTTTGAGTCAGTTGGATAAAAAAAGCTCCAGGATCCTGATCGTAATGTTAACTTCATCTTCCTGGTCAACAGCTTGGTCAAACACTGCTGTGGAATAATATTTCATTTCTCACTAATCAGCTTTGTTGTTTCTCACGCTGGAACCAACAACCTGTCCAAGCTAATCCCATTAAGCAAAAGTGGATTGGAGGGTTGTCCTCACCACTTGAAGCTTCTTAGAGC